GAGAACCCAGACTCACATCAAAGAACTGTCCAGGACCAAAGGGGTTGTAGGAGACCTTCCTTTCCTCGGCTCCCCACGAGCCATTCAGAAAGCTGTTCCGAACCACGCTGCCCTCTTTCAGCCGGGGGTTAATGTGCATAGCCAGGTCCCCTGAGGATCCCACCTTGAAGTTGATGACAAAGCTGGGGGCAGAGAGAAAAGTAGGAGTGAGATGGGTGGGGAGGAGGTGGGGGAGCGCTTTCCTCCCCAAGGAAGGAGGGGACTGGGGACTGGATTCCCAGGTCTCCAGTGGAGGAGGCTGAGGGCTCAGACTCCTAGGACTGAGGGATGAGGAGGACCAAGGATTCACAGCTCAACCTAGATTCCGTACCTCTTGGCTGTAGGGGGTACGTAGCCCTTGACGATAATGGTTCTTTGGGCTGTAAGCCCCCCTTGCAGTCTCCCATTAAATGGCACAGGCTGTGGGAAGAGAACATGGTGTCCCATTGTCTCTCAGGTCCCCAGAAGCCAGAGGCAGGGACAAATTTTCAGAGAGGGGCTCTCACTTGTCCTGGGAAATGTCCCAAACCCCCAACCTCCACCCCCTCTGACCACCAACTCCACCCTCTCCCCACCCCCTTCCCGACCCAAACACCCTCTGCCCACTCTATTTCCTACCTTCTCAGGGCTCCCCATGGCTCAGGACCCCTGACCCCCCACCAGTTCCTGCTTCCCCACAAACTGCCCACCACAGAGCCCTAAACTCCCACCAGAGACCTTACCGGGTTGAAGACTGGGGGTCCCTCCATGGTCTGTGAAGTGAGGAAGAGTTATTCTATAATATTCGGCAAATATTAGGCCCCCCTACTCCATGCAGGCGTAGCTTTAGGTGCTGGATTAGTACAACTGGGGATCCAGTCTCTCTGACCACCCTCCAGTTCTTCCCACCCACCCCCAAATGGCCACACAACCCTCCCACTTACAGGGAGGTGACTTGGCTCTTGGCAGCACTGCCCAGGACCCTACACAGATGGACAGAAGGCATGAATGGAGAGAGGCTGGGGGTCCTTTGGCTGCCCTAGGACCTCCTCAGCCACTGAACCCCACCTCAAGAGGAAGTCCATCACCCACCAGCAGGTACTTACTGGGTACGCCGGGTTAGGCATGGGTATCTGTGGGCACAGAAGGAGAAGGAGGCAATGAGGGGGACCCTAAACTAGGGCCCGGAGGGTGTCAAGGATGCCCGCCCCAGGGCAGCCTACCACCACCATCCAAGGGAACTCGGGGTCAAAGGGTAGCACCCAGATGGCTCCTTCATGGAGAGGAACTTGCCGTGTTTAGGGATCTCCAGTGCACAGCGAACCTCAGCCCACTCCTTTAGGACAAGGCTGGTAAATTCTGTTTCTGTCCCTACCTCTGTCCTGGCTTTCTGTTGACCCAGGACCCTCATCCACTCCTCTCCTCGCTCCAGGAGCCACACGATAAAGCGTGCACCCTCATTACACACCCCCAGGCCCACACAACACCCTGCTCACCTCATCTCCAACCATGATTTGCCCCTCACTCTACATGCGTACCCCTGGGGCAACTAGAGGTGCTTTAACCAGCCAAGTTCTTGTCTCTCCCTTGTCTGTCTCAGCTCTTTCAGTCTGTGTGTGACTCTGTTTCTGTTTCTCAGCCTCTCTTACTTGCTGTCTCTGCCTCTGTTCCTCTCTCTCGTCCTCACCTTCTCACCAGTGGTTCCTTTCCCCACCAAAAAATTTTTATTCACTCTTTCTCTCTGTTTCTGATGCACTCATTTCTGCCTCGACTTCCGTTTTAAGCCAGCTATCCTGAAGGTGCCTTAAAAATTGCTTCATATCAGGGATTGAACCCGGGCCCTCGGCAGTGAAAGTGAGGAGTCCTAACCACTGGACCGCCAGGGAATTCCCATGTTGTTTTTCTTTTTAAAATACATTGATGAGGGAATTCCCTGGTGGTCCAGCGGTTAGGACTTGGCACTCTCATTGTGGGGGCCCATGGTTTGATTCCCTGGTCAGGGAACTAAGATTCCGCAAGCCATGCAGTGTGGCCATAAGTAAGTAAGTAAATAAATAATAAAATAAAATACACTGATGAAGCACAAAGTAAAATGAACACCCATAGGCCCAAGGCCACCTTAGGGATGAAGACATTCCCAGCGTTTCCTCATCAGGGAGGCAGAGGAGTGGTTTGATCCGCGCCTCGGCCGCGTACAAGCTCCATGACCTTGGGCAAGTTGCTGAAGCACTCCGTGCCTCAGTTCCCACATCTGTAGAATGGGGCTCATGATCACCAGTGCACTTTCCCCTTGGAGGGGCTAGGGGACTTACAGGTTGGGAAGGGTAGAGCCCTCAGCTGAAGGACATGCCAGGGTTCTGAGGTGTGGGCTTCTCCAAGTAGTGTTGCTGTGGGGTTCTAGTGCTTGTGTCTTGGCCAGTTGTTCACCGTGGACCTGGTAGTGGGGTTTCACGGTCACCGGTGCGTGTCTGTTCAGCTTCCGTAGATGCTGCCCAGTTATTTCCCAAGGTATGGGAGTGTCGGCCAGTCCACAGCCTCACCAGCCATGGGTATGACGTGCCTTTCCCGTTACAGCCCTTCTGGCGGGTGTGTAGTGGTAGCTCCCTGTGATTGGCAGTGAATTTCCCAGCTGACTCATGACGTCAGGCAACTTCTCAGAAACATGTTTGCTACTCCTGTGGTTTTTGTCCCTCCCTATCATCACTTTCTGACTCAGCTTACACACCTACTTCTCCTCCAGAAAGCCCTTCCTAAGACTTTCCAGGGACTTCCCTGGCCGTCCAGTGGTTGGGACTCTGCGCTTTCACTGCCAAGGGCCAGGGTTCAATCCCTGGCTGGGGAACTAGGATCCTGCAAGCCATGTGGCGCAGCCAAAATAATTAAATAAAATAAAATGATGGTGTAGAAAATGGTGCCAATACCTTAAAAAAAAGAAGACTCTCCAAACCTCCTGTATGTGCCCCACCCCCGCACTGACGACTTGTGGCCACTACTATCTGGTGACACATCTGTCTTCCCAGTAGACTGTCTTGGTTGCCGCTGGGTCTGTGGCATCACCTGGTAAAGGGTCTGGCACAGAGCAGGTGCTTAGGAAATAAGTGAATGTAGGGATGAATTAAGGAAGAAAGCAAGCAAACAAGAGAGGGACACACCACACACCTGGTTTGGGGCGGGCTGGCCTCCGATGAAGTTGATTGATTGAAGCTGCAGGTCGCCATCCACATGCAGGTGGGTGACCATCTGTAGCGGGATCCGGTGCCCAAACTCACAGAAGGGATTCCCATTTACCACCACCTGGAGGGCAGGGGTCAGGTCAGAGGTGCCACCTCTGACCCTGGAGGGTAGAAAACAGGAAGCAGGAAACAGGGAGGTTTTAAACTTGGGGTCACAAGTTTTGAGGGTGAGCTGGGACAGCCTCAGAGTCAGGAATCTTGAGTCCACCGGTCAGAGGTCAAGCTGAGGTCAAAAGTCAGCTCACAGATTGGTGGGCAGACGAGAATAGAGACTTTAGCCTGAGGATGGAGATTGGGAGATAACTGAATTGGAGTCCTGGTTTTGGTACCAAATGATTGTGTGTCAGGTCCAGCTCTGACATGTCTTGGCTGTGGGACCTTAGGTAAGTCACTCACTTCTCTGAGTCTTTGTTTCTGCATCTGTAAAATGGGATCTCGCTCTGGGACTGTTGCGAAGGCATGTCAGAGGCACTGTGGAAATCCCATGTAGAGCCTTGCCTTGTCATCACATCTCAAGAGTACCGTAAGCCATCATGGTTCTATTTATAGTGCTAAGCAATGGGCACAGCCGAGACCCAGCTCCCCAGGACTGAGAGCTTCTTACATGCTAAGCACTTTACCTGCTGGCATCAACATGGTGGTTGGCTCAACAGCTCCGTGAGGGAGGACAAAACACTGTCCCTGTTGTTCAAGAAAGCAGAGGTTCCAGGTAGTAGAGTGACCAGTTCAAGGTCACATGCTGGGGAGAGGCAAAGCCCAGACTTGAACCCGTGTCTGTCCGAGCTCAAGCCCTAATGTTAACCTTGGTGACGAGGTTAGATATCTGGTGTCTATATGAGGGCAGATAACGTCCAGGTAGGTCATCCTCCCAGAAGACTTCTCCCATGGGTCAGGCTGGGACAGATGTGCACAGGGTGTCTGATGTGTGTCATTTATGGGGAGGCAGGGGATGGAGAGAACTCCATTCATATTTATGAATGAAATTATATGATAGCTGGGGTTTGCTTCTAACTAACCGGAGGGGAAGTGGGAGGTAGAGATAGGAGCAGAGGAACCTGGAGTGGACAGCTATCGGTGCTGGCCAAGGAGAGGAGGGCTTCCCAGGACTCTGTGCTTCTCTGTGTGTTTAGACTTCCTGATAAGAAAGGGCCAAAATACATACCTCGCAAGAACACGGGAGCAAGATGTTATGCACGAAACACATTAGAAGGCTCTCCGAGGTGGAGGAATGGGAATGAGAAAAAGAGAGGCAGGAGAGGAGGAAAAAAAAAGAAAAGTGAGGTAGGAAGGGAGGAGGGAGGGGGAAGGGAGAGAGGAAAAACGAAGAAAGAAAGGGAGAGAGGGAGGGATCGGGGAAGGCGGAAAGGCAGGGAGTGAGGAAGGGAGGGAAGGAGGGAGGGAGGGGTGGGGACGGGAGGCACCTTGTAGTGCTCGGCCAAGACCATGAACACCAGCTCGAAGGCGGCACCCTTGCTGAAGGGCATGCTCCTTTTCTTCTCTTCCTTGCCCCAGCTGCCCTTCTGCATCGTGTTTAAGACCACCTTATCCCAGCCGTCAAAGCGGGGATTGAAGTGGAAGGCGACGTCCGCCTCTGGGCCCGGCCCCACCTCGAAGTTCACGAAGAACCTGGTGGGACACGAAGGGCTGTTCCCCTGGCCGCCCATGCCAGCGCACTATTGACCCAAGACTGGAGGGGGAGATCGTTCCCTGGCACGCCAAGGGGCAGATTCCCACCCCTACCCCTTTGCTCACTCCCTTCCCTGACCCAGCTTCAAATAAGACTGCTACTGGGACTCCTGCATTTACCCCAGCCCAGTCTCTATCGGCTCAGGTCTCTCTGCCCCCTCCCTGGCTCCTGAAGGCCATTCCCCACACGCAGCCAGAGGGACCCTGTGAAAACCCAAATCGGAGCACCTTCCACAGCTCCCTTCACACCAGCATCCCCCAAATTATTCCAAGGGGGCAGGTACACACCTGCCTCAGGACCTTTGCACTGGCTGTTCTTTCTGCTTGGAATGCTCTTCCCTCAGATACACCCCAGGCTCCCTCCCTCACCTCCTTCAGGTCTTTGCTGAAAAATTCCCTTCCCAGGAACCTTACCCTGGCCACCTTATTTAAAGGGACCATGCCACACAACCCCTACCCCACATCTGCTCCCCATCTCCCTTCCCTCCTCATTTGTCTCCATAGCATTTATTGCCATCTGACTTATTATATATCTGACTTATTCATTTTTTATCTGTCTCCTCTACTAGGATGTCAGCTCCACGAGGACAGGGATCTTTGTCCTGTTGAATGCTCTGTCCCCAGCGCCTAGGCACAGAGTGGGTACTCGGTGGACACAGAAACAATGAACAAAGAAACAACAGTCCTATGACATCATTCAATTATCATCACCATTTTTTTTTTTATCATCACAATTTTAAAACCATAAAAAAAGCTAAGTGGACTTCCCTGGTGGCACAGTGGTTAAGAATCCGCCTGCCAATGCAGAGGACACAGGTTTGAACCCTGGTCCGGGAAGATCCCACACGCTGCAGAGCAACTAAGCCCGTGCACCACAACTACTGAGCCCGCGTGCCACAACTACTGAAGCCCACAAACCTAGAGCCCGTGCTCCACAACAAGAGAAGCCACCGCAGTGAGGCCCGCGCACCGCAACAAAGAGTAGCCCTCCCGCCACCACTCGCCTCAACTAAAGAAAGCCTGCATGGAATGAAGACCCAACGCTGCCAAAAATAAATCTAAAAAATTAAAGAAAACAAAAAGCTAAGAGTTATTGTAGTGCTGAACATACGACTCTATATGTTTTACATATTGAATCCTCAAAACCCATTTTACAGATGACAAACTAAAGCACACAGAGCTTTCCCAGTCACACGGTTGGTAAGTGACAGAGCTGGGACATGAACTCAGGTGGACCAGCTCTGAGTCTGTGATCTTAATTCATGCTGTCATACCCATCAGTTCCAATCCAGTGTCCCAACTCTGGGGCCACCTGTCATGGTGAGTCTCCCTAACACCTCCCGGCCCCCCTCCTGATCTGATCACCAAGCCCTGGACTCCCCAGACCAGAGCTGTTCTTTGGCCATCAGGTGCAGTGGCATAGAGCTCTCTTCTCAGCGGCGGGGAGGAAGGGAAATAGGCCTCCTGCACCTGGGCTGAAAGCCCCCTGTTTGTAGCCCCCTCCCATCCTAGCCTGGCATGGGGGAGGGTCTTACCTCTTCATATGCTCGCTAGCCACTCCTTGGATGTAAATGGACATTCCAACTCTGAGACTGCCTGGGATGGGCCTGTGGTAGGGCAGCGTCTGCAGAAGGGGCCAGGTGAGGGGCCTCAAAGGCCATCTGCCTATTGCAGCCCTTACTACTCAGTCAGAAGCCCCTCCAGCCCCCCTCCCTTAAGCAAGGGAGAGGAAACCAAGGGGTGAGGGGTCAGCGTGAAGATGAAGGCTGAGAGCTGGAGATGGATGTAAATGGTCTATCAGGGTGGGAGTAAGTCAAGCCCCAGGGTCAGTACTGGGTAACTCAGACCCACAACGCCCGGGTGGCTGCCTCTGAGGATCAGGGTGAGGGTAAATTGGTGCGTGGAGGTCAGGGTGGAGCTAAGCCAGGGACTAGGGTATCTCACCGGGTTGTAGGTGGGCTGGTAGCCTGGTGCAGGAACAAAGGCCATCTTGAGAGGCTGGGCTGCTGGCTTCTACGGTGAGAAGAGCTGCAGGAGTAGTGAATGGTGGCAGATAGCGGCTGGTGGGTGGCTCTTATACCTGAGGATAAGGGAGTGGCTGGCAGGGCAGGGTCCACGGGGTCCCTTTTCTAGGGATCCTAGACACACATCTTCTAGGGCACCCCGAGTCTCCCTTCTCTTACCAGCCTCACTGGTAACCAGCCGGAACCAGTGGGCCAGGCCTGGGGTACTCAGCTCAGGACCGCCTCCTCTAGGCCCTTCTGCAAAGAGGAAGTGCTGGCGAACTTTGGCCCTTCAAGGGCCTTATCAGAGCCCATAAAAACCTGGCTGACCCTTTGTTGTCAGAGGGAGGGTGAGGCCAGGAGGGTTGGGCAGGGTAAGGCTAAAAGGAGTGGCCCAGGACAGATGGGCAATGGAAACAAGTGAAAAAGCAAGGAGGAACTGGGCACTCTTAATACTCCCAGGAACTGTGCAAGGACCTCAGTTTATTGTTGCATGCCTCTAGTATGTATGTTATATTGTATATGTAGTGGTTTAGATCACTGAATTCTGAAGCCTGAGGTTCTGGGTTAAACTCCTTCTTTGCTGTTTGATCTTGTGTCAGTGCTTTAACCTCAATTTTCCCATTTGCCCATCTGTTAAATAGGGAATATTAATAGTTATTAACCTCATAGGGTCCTTGAAAGGAATTACTAAGCTAATAAATATTCATAACAGGACGTGGCATATAGGAGACACTAAGTTAATGCTTGGGGACTTCCCTGGTGGTCCAGTGGTTAGGACTCCGTGCTTTCACTGCCGTGGTGCTGGGTTCCATCCCTGGTCGGGGGAACTAAGATCCCACAAGTCTCCCACAAGCCGCACGGCGTGGCCAAAATAAAAGAAAAAAAGGAAAATAATACCTTGTAAATTAATGCTTGGTCTCTTGCCCTCATTCCAAACATAAATCCAGGACGTTGGTTTATTTTTTTGGCCACGCCACGCGGCTTGCGGGATCTTCGTTCCCCCACAGGGGATTGAACCCGGGCCACTGCAGTGAAAGCCCTAACCACTGGACCGCCAGGGAATTCTCCAGGAGGTTGGGATTACATATGGAAAAGAGAACTCAGAGCTTAGAGAAGTGAGGCAGTTGGCCCAAGACTGGGTAGCAGCAGAACCCTAGCCAGACTCCAGCACCGGAACCTACTATGCTGTGCAGTGAGTGGGGGCCAGGCGGGGGAAATGCCGCCCTCAAGCCTGGAGCAGGCAGGAAGACCGTCTGTGGCCTTTCACATGACTTGCTACCAGCCCTGGCCTGCCCACTGCCACTCTGAATGGTCATCACCTGCATGGCCTCCGTGCCCATTGGTCATATCTCTATCCCCAGCTTTCAGCACAGCCGTGGTCCCTGGAGCCCCCAGGATCATCATGTTAACCCCCTTTCTGCCCCGCCTCTCTCTCCAATAAGGACACCGCGTTCTTTATATTGCTTTATTGTTCGTGGGGCGAAGACAAGGCATGAGTAAAGCTGTGTCATAAAGTTATAAACAGGGAGACGGGCCAAGAAGACAGCGAGGGAGACCACCTTCACTAATCCTCCCTCTCTGTGAATGAGGATGCGCAGGCATGAGACGGGACAAAGCTAGACCCTGGGCCAGGCCCTGGCACCTCTCAGGGCCTCTCAGAGCTTGGAGAAGGTGATGCTCTTCAGTTCCTTCTTCTCCATTAAGGCCTGGAGAGACTTAACGACGTCCTCTGTCTGCAGCATGCTCATGTTCCAGGATTTCTGGATAAAGACGGCGGCGGGGAACGGTAAGGATACGGGAAGATTTTAATTGAACCAATGAAAAATGGGAGATAGCAGCGCACCAATCAGAGGACAAGGCCTGCAAAGGGCTGCTGTGCCCTGATTGGTTGCTCTGGGATCAGAGAAGGAATGTGATTGGTCGGACGGAGAGTCTCACCATGAAGTTGAGGCTGTCTGTCACCGAATGGTCGCGGGAGTAGAGCAGGTTGATCTTAGTGCTCTGCACCGCCACGGGGCTCTTGCTGGAAATCTCGGCTGCCAGGGCGAAGGCCGCATCAAGCATGACCTCTTTGTCTGGGAAGACCCGGCTGAGGATGAAAGGCATTTGCAGTCAGCGGTCTGAGAAGAGCTCTCCTCTCCCTCTCATGGATGAAGAAGTGGCCAATCACAGTAGAAAACGGAAGATACCACAGTGAAATGGACCAATCAGAGCAGGGCAGTAGACTCCAGACCACCCAGAGAGAGGAGGCCACTTGGAATCCATGAGTTAAGGTACACGGGGATCCAGAGAGCCCCACCCAGGTCTGGCTGCCCCTGAGCTCTCATCCAGCACAGGCCTCAGCCCCTACCTCACCAGCCCACTGTCCAGGGCCTCGTCAGCCATCATCTTGCGGGCAGTGAAGGCCAGCTCGTTGACCAGGCTGCAAGAGGGCAGAGCGTGTCAGGGGTGTCAGTCATCCCAGGTCTAGGAGATGTCCTGCCGTCCCCTTCCCCAGGCTCCTCTAACCCACCTCTGGTTCCCGATGACTCTGGGCAGTCGCTGCAGGGTTCCCACATCCGCTGCCAAACCTAGGTCCACCTCCTGGGGGGGAGCAATCCTGTCCGTGCTTAGTTTCTGCCCACTACTGTCCCCCATGCAACCTCAATGCCAATGAAATTCTGCATTTACTGCAGAGGTCCCACCCCCCACCCCACCTCAGAGACTCCCATTCCAAACATCCCGTTTCATTCCCATCCACATACTTTTGCCCATATAGGTTCCTTCGGTCTAGAATACAGCCCACCTTCCAATTCCTCTGCCCTCCCAATTCTTTGAGGTCAGCTGCATCTATCTCCAGACGGAAGCCTTGCTTATCCCTGCCCTGCCCCCCTCCATCCATGAGCTCCATCGTGCCTCCCGCCCCCTCCAGCACTGACGCCAAGCAGCGCCCCCAGCCTCAACCCCTCCCTGACAACTTGACTCACTCCTGACCTCACACTGACTGCATGACCTACCCTTGACTTCCTCCCTGGCCAAGTGTTAATTTTCTTTTCTTTTCTTTTCTTTTCTTTTTTGCTCCTGTGGCACGTGGGATCTTAGTTCCCTGACCAGGGATCAAACAGGCGCCCCCTGCCTTGGAAGCGCGGAGTCTTAACCACTGGACCACCAGGGAAGTCCCAAGGGTTACTTTTTAATTTTTTTATTTTTTTATTTTTTGCGGTATGGGGGCCTCTCATTGTTGTGGCCTCTCCCGTTGCGGAGCACAGGCTCCGGACGTGCAGGCTCAGCGGCCACGGCTCACGGGCCCAGCCGCTCCGCGGCATGTGGGATCTTCCCGGACCGGGGCACGAACCCGCGTCCCCTGCATCAGCAGGCGGACTCTCAACCACTGCGCCACCAGGGAAGCCCAAGTGTTACTTTTTAAGGTTCAGTTCTAACCAACTCTTCCATGAAGCCGTCTAGACTCACTCCCATCCCCTTAGCTTGCTCTGTCCCTGCTCTACCCCTGCTCTGACCTGTCTCTGCCACTCATTTCCCAGCTCTAAGCAGGGCCCAAGGAAGCAGAAGCTCGGGAGGATGGCTCACCTTCACCTGGAAGGAAGCATCCTGGGTACAGTACCGGATGTCACAGGCAGTGATAAGATCCACTCCTGGGAAGCAGAGGCCAGGGACACTAAACAAACACAGGACTGCTCCCCACCCCCACCCCCAGACTGTGGGGTTGCACCTTGGGCCAAAGTCTAACTAGCAACAGATCTGGGTGGGTGGCTGCAGACTCACCTGCACCAATGCAGCCCCCATGGATGGCGCCAATCACCGGCTTAGGGCACTGGAAGGGGACAAGAGGGGCAGGGTCAAGGCTGGTCCCGGAGCGGCAGGCAGCGGGGATGCCCTGCTAGCCTCCCAGGGTCACCTTCTCGATGACGCTGAAGGTCTCTTGGTATCTGCTGAGGAGGCTATGGAGGTGCCAGCTGATGCGGGCCACGTCGTCTCCTGCGGGCTGAAGGAGGCCTGAAGCCATGTCCACGAAGTCGATACCTGGTGGCGAGATCTGGGGAGGCTCACCTAGCCGCCCAGGCCCAACCCATTGCCCTGGCTAGAGTTCAGAGGCCACGCAAACCACCACAGTGGAGGCAGCAACTCACACAGGAGGGACTGCCTTTGGGGTGTGAAGACAAGGCAAGCTAACGTATATCGAGTCTTTGCTCACTTTAGCCTCACAATGACCCTCTGAGGTAGGTCCTATTACTACCTCCACTTTCCTGGGGGAGAAACTGAGGCACGGGGAGCTTAAATCACACGCCCAAGGTCACACTGGCTTGTGAGCAGTGGAACTGCAATTTCAAACCCAGAACTATGCAGCTGGCTCCAGGGGCCGTGCTTTTCACTGTGATACCAGATGGCCTGGAGGTCAAGGTTTTGGGCAGAGCAACTGCGTCAAAGGTGGTAATGTTTCCTGAGACAGGAAGCTCGGAAATAGAGAAATTTTTGTGGCTCCAACTTTAAGACAATCCCAAGTCTGACCTTTCCTCCACTGACCTGCCTCCACAGTCTGTTCCCCACATGCGGCCAGAGGGCACTTGTGATCACCTCAGGGCCCTCTCTTCTCCCCGACGCCCCCCATCCCTCTTACTTAGAATGAAATGCCAGGTCTTCTGCCAAGACCTTACCAGCCCTGCACAAGCATCATCTCCAGCCTATGCCACTGGGCACGCAGGCCTCCATCAGCCTTTCTGACAACACATTCGCTTCCCAGGGCCTCTGTGCCTGCTCCTCCCTCTGCCTAGAACAGCCCTTCCCCAGCAATCAGGCCACAGTTCAAAGGTCACCTCCTCAGAGAGGCCCCCTCTGGGCACCCTGGCTAAATAGCAGCCTGTCACCCTTCACCTCCTTTCTCGGCCATATCTCCCCCGTACTGCCTTCTTGTTAGCACATAATTGTATGCTTATCTCGTTTAGTGCCTGTCTCCCTTTCTTAGGATGTGAGCTCCATGAGCGGAGGAGTTTGTCTTCCCCATCTCCCCACCCCCAAGGAGTTTGGCTTTTTGCCCACCACTGTATCCCCAGTGCCTACCAGGGCCTAGCACACAGCAGGTGCTCAATAAGTGAACAATATAGACAACAATCTCTGCCCCCATGGAGCTGCCCTTCTATGGGAAACAAACAGGTAAGAAGATACATTTTGTCAGGTGGCAATAAGTACTAAAAGAAAATTAAAGGAGGGAAGTGGAATGGAGTGTGTGTGTGTGTGTGTGTGTGTGTGTGTGTGTGTGTGTGTGTGTGTGTGTGTGTGTGCGCGTGCGTGCACATGCACAGTGAGGGCTCTTGCAGTATTAACTAGGGTGGTCAGGGACCCTCTTAACTGAAAAAGTGACATATGAATAAAGATCTGAAGGACCACAGGGAGGGAGCTGTAGGGATATCTGGGATAAGAGAGTTCTACATGTCAGGAACAGCCAGTGCGAAGGCCCTGCAGTAGGAATGCCCCCGGTGTCTGTGTGGAGGACCACTGAGGCCAGCGTAATGCAGTGAGCAAGGGGGAAAGCAGGAAAAGCCAACGTCAGAGAGGTGACAGAGGCAGACTCTGGGGGGCCTTGTGGGCCAAGTGGAGGACTTTGGCTTTGACTCTGAGTGAGGTGGAGCTACGGGGTGGTTCTGAGCAGAATTTTCTTCTTCCCGAGGTGAATCACTCTCATCCTTTTGCCTGTCCTCTGAACAATGCTATTTGACAAACCTGAAAAATCACTCCCACCTTCAGCCACACCCCTGACTCTCTGAGGCTCTGTTGCCTGCACAACTTATTTAAATGAACGAGAACAGGGCTTCCCTGGTGGCGCAGTGGTTGAGAGTCCGCCTGCCGATGCAGGGGACTCGGGTTCGTGCCCCAGTCTGGGAGGATCCCACATGCCGCGGAGCGGCTGGGCCCGTGAGCCACGGCCGCTGGGCCTCCGGGTCCGGAGCCTGTACTCCGCAGCGGGAGAGGCCACAGCAGTGAGGGGCCCGCGTACCGCAAAATAAAAAGTAAATGAACGAGAACAGAGGAGTGTTGACTCAGGGTAGAGCTGAATTTGTGCAAGTTAAATATGGGTAAGACAGGACTCCTGTGTGTGACCCTGGCCAGGTCACTCCATCCTTTGGGTCTTGGGTTTCTGCTCTGTAAAATGAGCCTAAAATCCTCCCGAGAGCTGATGGGGCTGCAAGGATTCAAGTGACAGAGCCCAGAGGCGCTTTGAGCAATGCCTGGCACATAATGGCATCACAACAGTTACTATTATTATATACTCCGTCTCAGCCGAGGCCAGAACCGCCTGCATCAGCCTGCAGGCATCTGCCAGCTTCCCACTAGGCCTGCACAGCTTGTATGACTCAGTGGGAGCCACGCTTACCCCCAGAACAAGCCCAGCTTGGCACCTGGCCACACCTCCTCCCGCTGGTTTTGCTGGTTTATCTGCCCTACCTGGATCTGCAGACGTGGGTGTCTGCAACCCCTTGGAATAAACGGCCCCAGACCATGGTACAAGGTGTCCCCCTCCAGAGTCAGAAGTCATTCCGGAGAGGTCCCCTATCTCGTTCCCCGAGAACCTCTAAATGTTTCAGATCTCCTCCATCATCACAATTAAGTTATTTATAATCATCAATAATAACAGCTACGGGGACTTCCCTGGTGGCGCAGTGGTTAAGAACCTGCCTGCCAATGCAGGGGACACGGGTTCGAGCCCTGGTCCGGGAAGATCCCACATGCCGCGGAGCAACTAAGCCCGTGCACCATAGCTACTGAGCCTGCGCTCTAGAGCCCGCGAGCCGCAACTACCGAGCCTGCGTGCCACAACTACTGAAGCCCGCGCGCCTAAGAGCCTGTTCTCTGCAACAAGAGAAGCCACCGCAACGAGAAGCCTGCGCACCGCAACGAAGAGTAGCCCCCCGCTGCTCGCTGCAACTAGAGAAAGCCCGCACACAGCAACGAAGACCCAATGCAGCCAAAAATAAATAAATAAATTTATTTTTAAAAATAATAATAGCAGCTACATTAATAAAAGTTCCACATGAATTAATGTTTTGTGCCTATTAACTCGTTTCATCCTCACGGCAACCTGATGAGGTGGGGGCTCATAGCATCTCCCTTTTCTTCAGATGAGACCACAGAGAGGTGAAGGTGTGTGCAGCTGCCAGGGGTGGGAGGTGGCAGGCTCCTCTGGCTAGGCATACTTTGAACCAGCCTGTCAGACACCTGGGCCATAGCCACTTAGCGATGGAGAGCAAGGATTCTGCAGCAAGGCAGCCCATGTTCAAAAATCCCAGCCCTGAGAACTGGGCAAGTTTCTTCCTCTCTCTGGGTCTCAGTTTCCTCACCTATCAAATGGGGATGGGGACTGAGCCTGTCTCATAGGGTCGTGGTGAGAATTAATACATGTAAGGTGCTCAGAGACACTCCACAAATGTAAATAAGTGTGGGCTAGGTCTTTTTCTCTATTTTTTTAAATTAGTAGTTTCATTCTATCATTGAAACTGCTAATTAAGTTGAGTTTCTTCTTTCTGGCCTTCAGACTGAAAATGGGACGAGACGGCTACAATCAGCTGTGAGCTGAAAGATGAGGACCCCAGGCCTGGCACGGCTACACATGAACCCTCATCCTGCACTCCATGAGGGAAAGGGCTCAGAAACAGGGGCTGCTTTCTGTTTCTAGGTCCGCGGCACCCAGGAAGGGGGCTGGCACTGGAATGTTGAATGGATGAACAAAGGAATGAAGGACAGAGAGAGTTGTAGAAAGAAAACAACGGACGTGACATGCGGAGATGTTAACAGACGAAACAAAAAGAAATACATTGTCTGAGCAGGATGAACTGTCATTACAGACTAGAGCGTCTGATGTCTCTGTGATGCCACTGCTTGGAACTGACCCAGATCAGGGTAGGGGGCACTCGTCTGGAGTCGCCCTGGCTTCTGCTGACTCATTGGTTTCTTCCCAGGCCCGATTCTTTTGTTTTGTTTTGTTTTGTTTTTTGCGGTACGCGGGCCTCTCACTGCTGTGGCCTCTCCCGTCGCGGAGCACAGGCTCCGGACGCACAGGCTCAGCAGCCATGACTCACGGGCCCAGCGACTCCGTGGCATGTGGGATCCTCCCGGACTGGGGCACGAACCCGTGTCCCCTGCATCGGCAGGCGGACTCTCAACCACCGCGCCACCGGGGAAGCTTCATCGAGGGCATTTAACACGTCCACTGTTGTGTTATTCTTGAATAAAGCAGGAGAGCTTTTGGAAGCCCAGCCAGGGCAGTGTCCCTTCAGAGATTCAGGGCTAGCCTGGTGACTGAAGGCCTAAGGTTTGGAATTCTCCTGAAGGAGTGCTGTTGGGACAGCTGGGATGCCCCCGTCATGGTTCCTGCCACTTCATTAACAGGCTGTGATAAGAAGTGGAGAGCAGTGCACCTTCTGCCTGGGTACTGTGAATTTTGCTGACACAAAGGGTGTCCTCTACCTGGTGTTGGACAGACCCTCGGGACTTCACATCTTTCCTGCCTTAACCTGTGTGAGCAGCTGTCAACCTCCTGGGGTGGGGAGAGGGGACTGCCTAGAAATTTGGGGGCCAAAATCATTTAGGTGGCCTTTACTTGGTCTTATCAAAAGAATTCCAATAAAATATTTTAAAGCAAATTAAAAAAAAAAAGAAAGAAATTCATTGTTTACTGTCTGTCTTCCCCACTGAATTGGGAACTCCATGAGGGCAGGGCCTGGAGCTGCCTCAGTCACCACTGGGACCCCAGCATTAGGCTGGGCCCTGTGCAGAAATCAGTGTATGTGACCCTCCACTTCTGGTATGGACCCTCCTACAGGTGCCAACTATGTGCCCTTGTTGGACAACATCCAATTACCTGAAGGCACCAGGCAGACTCTGGAAGAAGTGACCGGCCGAGTTACCTGTTTTTAAAAAAGTTAACCTGAGGGCAGGCTGAAGTTGTGCTTGAAGAATCAAAGGACAAACAGAGCCCAGGGTGACCTCAGCTGATAGAAAGTGAGGGGGGGAAATTCCAGAAAGCAGAGAGCCAGAGAGGGGAGCCCCAGGTTCTGTGTATAAGCTCTGCCCAAATCTCTTGTTGACCCATGAAGCAGGCAGGCAGCCCAGCAAAGAGATTTAAACACTGACTCCAACTTAGCTGCTAAAACAGGAAACTCAACACTCTGGAATTATGTAATAGGATCCTGAATTTCGACATCATTTTCTCTCATAGTCCAATATCCAGGATACAATCTAACCTTACTCCGAAAACAAAGAAACAGGAAAATGAGACCCATTTTTTTTCAAGAGAAAAGATAAGAAACAGAGATTGACGCCAAGGCGACCCAGATGTTGGAATTAGGAGACAAGGATTTTAAAACAGCCATTATAACTACGGTCAATGATGCAAAGAAAAATATGGTTGTGGGACATCCCTGGTGGTCCAGTGGTTAAGCATCTGCCTTTCAATGCAGGGGACACACGTTTGATCCCTGGTTGGGGAACTAAGATCCCACATGCTGAGGGGCAACTAAACCCGAACGCCACAACTACTAAGCATGCGGGCCACAAGTAGAGAGAAGCCCGCACATGGCAATGAAGATCCCGAGTGAGCAACTAAGAACCGACGCAGCCAAAGATAAACAAATAAATATTTTTTAAAAAAATATGATTGTGACAAACAAAAAGATATGAAACTTTAGCAGAGAAATGGAAAATATAAAAAAGAACCAAATGGAAATTTGAGAACTGCAAACTACAATACAGGCATAACTCATTTTACTGCGCTTCACAGATACTGTTTTTCCTTTTGATTTTTTGGCTGCACCACACAGCATGTGGGATCTTAGTTCCCTGACCAGGTATCGAACCCATGCCCCATGCATCCCTGCATTGGAAGCAGTGAATCTTAACCACTGAACCACTAGGGAAGTCCCACAGATACTGTGTTTTTTACACATTGAAGGTTTCTGGCAACCCTGCATTGTCAAATGGTTAGCATTTTTTAGCAATAAATTATCTTTTAATTAAGGTATGGACTTTTTTTTTTTTGCGATACGCGGGCCTCTCACTGTTGTGGCCTCTCCCATTGCAGATCACAGCCTCCGGAAGCGCAGGCTCAGCGGCCATGGCTCATGGGCCCAGCTGCTCCGCGGCACGTGGTATCCTCCCGGACCGGGGCACGAACCCGTGTCCCCTGCATCAGCAGGCGGACTCAACCACTGCGCCACCAGGGAAGCCCCTGTACTTTTTTTTTTTAGACATAATGCTACTGCACACTTAACAGACTACAATATAGTGTAAATGTAACTTTTATATGCACTGGGAAACCAAAAAGTTCATGTGACTTGCTTTATTGCTGTATTCGCTTTAGTGTGGTAGTCTAGAACTGAATCCACAATATCTCTGAGGTATGCCTATATCTGAAATTTTAAAAACCATTGGATGGCCTTAACAGCAGAACAGAGGTGACAAAGGAGTTGATGAATCTGGTCAATGGAAATTATCCAACCTGAAGAAAAGACCTGTGGGACAATCAAAAGATCTAACAGACATGTAACTGGAAATCAGTTCATGTGGACTGAGTAATTAATTGCATGAAAGCATGCAATTTTTTATTTTTGGCCGCGCCACTCGCAGCTTGCAGGATCTTAGTTCCCCGACCAGGGATTGAACTAGGGCCCCTGCAGTGAAAGTGCTGAGTCCTAAACACTGGACTGCCAGGGAATTCCCAGAAAGTGTGTAATTATTACAACACGCTTTACTGACATAAAAAAAAAAAAAAGATTCTGGGTGATTAAAGGCCACAGATTCAGGATGAAAACCCTGACTTTAGAGCCGATGATCCTGTCATGTTCTGTTGGACTAATTTCTTTTCTTTTGTTTTTGCTGCACCATGCGGCATATAGGGGCCTAGTTCCCCAACCAGGGACGAACCCATGCCTCCTGGAGTGGAAGCGCGGAGTCTTAACCACTGGACCGGCAGGGAAGTCCCATGGACTAATTTCTGTATTTGAAAATGATCAAAGTGGAAGTTAGAAGCTGCTTAAAACACTAATTATGAAGCATTACTCTATTCCCAGGAGGAGGGGAGACTGGCAGGGGTGGGTGTGGAGAGCACCTGGTACCTGAAGTGAACATTTTTCCTGCGCCAGAGATCACCACAGCACGACAGTCAGCATCTTCTGCAATCTTGTTGAAGCACACCACCATCTCGCTGTGGGGGAAAGGGGCAAGGGCTATGTCTGGCACGGGAATCCCCTGCCCTCAGGCCCACCCCTGCCCAGTCCCTTGGCCCCTGCCTCCTCCTGCAGGCAGGCCTCCAGAATTTGCAGGCCGGACCTCCAGAAGGCCTTGTTCATGGCGTTTCTCTTCTCCGGCCGGTTTAGCTGCACATGCAGGATGTGTTTCTGGGCAGATGTCACCCGAAGGGACTCATAGCTGTGGCCTGGGGCTTCCTCGGGGGCTGCTTTGGAGGCCTCATCTTGTGCAAAAGAACTCATGGGATGAAGGTTAAGGCTGAGACCCAGGTTGGTGCGGGCTGTCAATCCTGGGGAAATGAAGGAAGTAAGAGCCATTGATGACCCCAGATTGGGGGCACAGCACCTCCAAGAGCAGAGGGCACACATCTCAGTGACACTAGATTGGGGAACACAGTCCTGTTAGAGGCCTTGGTTTAGGGAAATACAGACTTTAAGATTAGGGTGCACTTATCAGTGGCCTCAGTATGAGGACCACTTCAGACCCGTGATCATGGTACTGACTCCAGGTTGGGAACACTGAGCCGTCAGCGACCCGATTGTAAGACACAGGCCGTTTGGATGGGGGCACATGGACCCCTGAGTTTAATAAGGGGCTCGGACCCTGCGAGACCCGGGACAGGCCTCCCCGTCCGACTGTCGCTATGACAGCACGAAAGCTCAACGGACCCCCAAAGGTCAAGAGGTGACTCACGACAGGTCAGCAAGTTGCGGAGCCTCCGAGAAGCCGGTATCACCGCCGCCATTGCTACTGATTCGCTGGAGTAAACGGACAGGAGGAAGTTAAGGGGGCGGGCACAAAGGGACGCCATGTTTGGTGAGGGCATCGAGGCCCCAGCCTGACCCCGGTGACGATCCTCTTCTCGCCATCTTTACCAAGGGCAACCGGAAACAGCCTTCTAGGTTCGCCGGCCATTAGAGTGATTTGGTCATGGAACCTTTGGACCAGTAGATACCCAGACTAAGAAAATGGTTCACACTGCTCTTGGACGTTCTGTACAGAATTCACCACAGCTGTTTCATAATGGTGGAGAAATTAAAGACGGATGAATGTCTAAGGGCATAATGGCAGAATAACTGCAGCTCTGCAAGTTTGCAATCATGCATTTGTACCATATTAACAACAAAAAAAACCACAGGGGGCTTCCCTAGTGGCACAGTGGTTAAGAATCCTCCTGCCAATGCGAGGGACATGGGTTCCAGCCCTGGTCCGGGAAGATCCCACATGCCGCGGAGCAACTAAGCCCATGGGCCACAACTACTGAGCCTAAGCTCTAGAGCCAGTGAGCCACAGCTACTGAGGCCTGCACACCTAGAGCCAGTGCTCTGCAACAAGAGAAGCCACTGCAATGAGAAGCCTACTGGCCGCAACTAGAGAAAGCCCGCGAGCAGCAATGAAGACCCAATGCAGCCCAAAATAAATTAAAAAATAATACATACTAAAAAAAGAAAAAAGTTACTACTGAATTTATCCATGTACAGGAATGGGAATATAGGCCCACCAACATTAAGCACTGACTGTATAATCTGAATTGCCACACCACCACGGGGTTGTACTATTTTACATTGTATGCAGAGGAAACCGGCTGGGGAGAAGTCACTAGTTCAAGGTCTGTCTCTGGCAAATGGGGTTGTAATGAATACCTTGCTTTTTTTTTTTTTTAATTTATTTAATTTTTTGTCTGTGTTGGGTCTTCGTTGCGGTGTGCAGGCTTCTCATTGCGGTGGCTTCTCCTGTTGCAGAGCACAGGCTCTAGACGCGTGGGCTTCAGCAGTTGTGGTTTGCAGGCTCTAGAGCGCAGGCTCAGTAGTTGTGGCCCACGGGCTTAGTTGCTCTGGGGCATGTGGGATCTTCCCGGACCAGGGCTGGAACCCGTGTCCCCTGCATTGGCAGGTGGATTCTTAACCACTGTGCCACCAATGAAACCCTACTTTACTTTTGTTGTTGTTTCTTTTTGGCTGCACTGCACACTGCATGCACGTAGAACTTCCTAGACGAGGGATCAAACCTGTGCCCACTGCAGGGGAAGGGTTGAGTCTTAACCACAGGATCACCAAGTAAGTCCTACTTTGCCTTCTTAATGTGTTAGATGGTAAGGCTCTTTTGGAAAACAGAGAACTGTTTGGTCAGCTACACAATGGAGAACTCTGGAACCACTATGCAGATACCAAGACGTGAGAGAAAAAAATTTAAAGATGTAGAACATTTAGTTAGGTTGCTATACAAAGTTATAGACGGCTGTACCTTCATAAAAAACAATATATGCATAGAATATCTAGGAGACTCATAACTACTAACATGGGATGAAAACTGGGTGCTGGCAGACAAAATGGGGAAATTTACTTTCTACCCCCCTTGGTTAGCTTAAAATAATCCTAGATTTTTAAGTTACAGCTGCAAGGTGACTGTAGTTTCTCCTTGTCTAGAGATTGTTTGAAGCTTTCCCTGATGAAACTTTGATAAATGCTATGACTTCAGTAGATGTTAATGTTTAAAAACTCTACAGGAAATTAGCAGAGTGGGTTTTTTCAAGCGCACACAAGGAACTGGACTTTTTGACCTGCTCCTCTCCTGCAGGATCTCTTCCCTCCAGTATGAGTCAAGGTTCTTAAAGGCGGCTCCCTTCCAGGTTATCGTCTGCCCTCCACCCGTATGGCCCAGCCCCAACCATAAGCACAAGTTCCCACACACCAAGACTGGGGAATATCTATCAAGTTGCAATTGAATGTATCCTTTAATCCAGCAATTCCACTGCTAGGAATTTACCTCCAGATCAGTATCAAGGAAGTTGGGTAACATTTGTATAAAGATGCATAGTAGTACTGTTTGCAGTAGCAAACTGGAAATTACCTTCAGAACCAAGTAAATTATGACATATCCACACAAGATACTGTGTAAGACTAAAGGTAATGAGGTTGCCCTGCATGTGATATGAGAGGATCTTACAGAACAAAGCATTTTCTGTTAAGACACATATGCGAATAGAACTTTCCTTATGGAAAAAAAAAAAACTTGTTTCCAAGGGGAGTGGGGAGATGACTTTCACTTTTGAGGTTTCATTTTCCAACCTTAAAGAAAGGCGGGTGTTTACTTCTTAAGATTGAAGATTTCTTCTTTTTAAAATCTCTTCAATTTAATTTTTTCAACTATTTACTTAAAAAAAAAAAAGACTCTTCAACTAGATCCAGCTTGCTTGGGGAGAGCCCATGAAGGATGCCACCAGGTCTCCCAGATTTTCAAGACCCTTTCATCATTTCCCAATCTGCAGCTCTGGCCCACACCGCTCCTCAGGGCTGGGTCGGCCCCTCTGGAGGGGCTGCAGCTGTGTCCTGGCCAGCCTGCCCCTCTTCAGAAGACTGAGTGTGAGGGAAGCAGACACACCCCAGAATCCCAGAAAGTGCTACGTTTATTTTCCAAACAATTTTATTGAAATGTGCCAAGAGTACACGGACAGCACAAATGTATGAACAGGAAAAAAAAAATCACATGTACAATAATTTTTAAAAAGTGAAGGTTAATCTTGGGAGATATCAGTTCCCCTTCCCCTCCCCCTTTAGACTTCCAGCATTTCCATTATGGTTAAGCCTCTACTAACCTAGCATTAAAAAAAAAGGAATACAGGAACATCTGCAAAACAAAACAAACAAAAGAAAAAACCAGCATAAAGGAAAGAAATGTTTTCCTGCTCAGATAGGACTCTCCATAGGCACCTAATTAGGAGGCGTGCTGAGCGGTGGAGAAACACAACTTCAGGGTGTAAGGGTATGGCCCATCTGCAAAAGAGAGGACAGAGGTGTAACTGGGCCCCTCTCTGGATGCTCCCCCCACCCAGAGTTCCCTTGGTTTTGCACACACCTCTCATTTTCTGCAATTCAACTGCAAGGGTCAAACTCTTCACTGCCACTTTTGAGACTCAAAAACAAGACTAACACACAAGGCATTTCTCCTTCTCTTCCTTCAATTCCATGGAGGATCCCATTCCCAGCTTTTCAGCTGGTGCACAACAATAGGCCTGCCCAGGAACTGGGTTTACCTGCTGGCTATTGTAATAGCCCCCTTTTCTGGGTACTGAGCCAGCCTCTGATGCACAGAGAATGGCAGCTCCCTGGAGCACAAGCTCCCTGGAGGACAAGCCTGAGCAACTCCCAAGCTGGCAGAGCGGGTGGCAGCAAGCAGCTAGGCTGGCCCTCCCACATGAAACATCAGGCTGCTCTCCTGGCGACCAGGTCCCACCTGCCTGTGTCAGTGACAATAAGGAAATCCCTGGGGCCCCATCTTGATGGCAGGAAGGATGGCTCTGGCCCGAAGCGAGCCAACCCATGAAGCAACAAGGGGGGATGGATGACCGCAGGACCCACAGATACTCACTTGGGTTTTTCATCTGATAATGGTTCAGGAAGCCCAGGGTCTCCAGGGCATCGCTCTTGGATTCCCACTCCAGCAGCCCAGAGGAGCTGCGTTCACCTGATGGGAAAAACAAAGGTTTGAGGCTGACCTGAGCAGACGCCAGGGAGCTGCCCATCTACAGTCAAGGAATGGGGGAGGAAGGTGGGGCAGTTTACTCACTTTTGCCTGAGAATACTTTCACAGAAGATGGCCGCTTCACTCCCAGCTCATCGCAGATCTGCAACAGAAACAGAAAACAAACTCAAAGGACTTCCCTGGCGTTTCAGTGGTTAAGACTCCACGCTTCCACTGCAGGGGGCATGGGTCTGATCCCCGGTCAGGGAACTAAGATCCCGCATGCTGTGTGGCCAAAACAAAAACAAAGAACAGACAGACTGAGAAACACAAGGAGTGCCACATGGCGGAATTCAAGAACACCACAGCTGAACACTTGGACTTTTCTGGACAAAAGAGTTTCTAAGCTTTTATCACACACTCTAAGGCATCCCTGTAATCCCCCCAAAGGTTGAGAAACACTGCTCTTAACTATTTTGTTGCCTAAAACTGGGAAACTGCTTTTTAAATTTCCCATCTTCAGCTGTTATTTGGGTGTGTTCTGGCACTAGGTAAATGTGTGTAAACTGAATAGCAACACCTCAGGCCACAGTTAAGGCCCAAAGTCCAACTCCACAGTCAGACTTCCACCCTTCCCCAAAGCTGCCCCGGTTCCCTCTGACAGCACCATAATGGGATCCTCCCTTCTAATGTCACCTAGGCCCCAGATGGCCTGACAGTGTGAATGTTTCGAGATTGGACTCCAATCACCAGTCCATCACCCAGACAGGGAGGAATGTTTCAAGGCAAATGAGCAGCCACTCTGACTTGCCAAAAATACAAGAAGCATGGCAAACTCCACTATTGCTGGAAGTGTGGTGCCATTCTGAGCCTTTCTTGGTCCCTGCTATGTCCCTAGCACCCAACCCAGAGCCCAGCAGAGCAGCTCAATAGACATTCATTAAAATTCAAAAATGAATGGCCTCCGCAGAATGGCTATGCTGAAGGACCAAGTCCACAGCACCCACCTCAAAGAAATTCTCCTCAGTCACCTCCAGAGGGGCATTGAAAAAGTGTAGCACATTGCTAGGGTGCTGGATGCGGTTCTTGGCTGCCTGCTCTGGAGTGGAGAACCGATTGTTCCTTGACTCACTGAAGTCTTTGTAACTGCAGGACCCATCTTCTAGCCCGTATGACTGACCGGGCATGATGGCTGGTTGCTTGGAGACACTGCAGGAGGGAAGGGGAGCCCTGTGTCAGACCTTAAGTTGCCCCCCACCTTCTACTGTGGCCTCCTTCCTGTCT